GTTTATTGCGTGACTGATTGACCGCTGTTCAGTGTGACCTCATCTCGATAAACGGATGAACCTCAGCTAAACTTTTTCAGTTGTAGCTGTTCTTTAAAATTGACTGTCAGCAACGCTCAGGCCTGCTTTCATTGAAAGCATAAAAAACATTTATTGGAACATGTCCAATTGTTAATCAGCCTTTAATCTATGATCCTTCAAGATGTTCTCTTCAACAAGAAATATGAAGGGTATTCTTCCTCGTTTTGATATAGTGTTTGCCACCGAAAAGCTGCCGTCTTGACCGAGCACACCTAACCTGCTTCGATTCTCGTATCGTCATTGTGCCGAAGAGCAATGAGGCAAAGAACTGCTGTACTATTCGATTTATTCTCTCTATATGAAGTCGATATGCTCGATACTGTGGAGGGAATTGGATAACTTATTGAAAGCTAAATAAAGGTTGATAGAGTTCGCCTGTTCAGCCACAGAATTTATAGCCTCTTTCAACCTGTCCAGCTGGTTATGTATGGATAGCACATGTTCCATCGGCGATCGATTGACCACCAGCAATTCCTTGGCTTGGTTTCCATTTCAACAACCAGTTAAAATCACCTCACTGTCCTACTGTGACTTTCTGTTTAAGCGTGTCATTATATCTTACGAGGTACAGCTGTCGAGACGTTGTCTGAGTTTTGAGGGCTTTGTTTGCCAGTTACCTTGAATAGTGTTTAAACCCTACGGCCTCCATGCTGTTAAAGTGTATGCGAAAGTAAGTTCTTTAAGCGAGGGATTCAGCTCTGAGTGCCGTCAATTCGGTAGACGAAGGTAGCAGTACCACAGGTTGTCCCACTTAATAATAACATGGTAGCGGAGCAGCTACTGCGTTCTCTCTCCTTTGCCTCTCTCCCTCAAAATTCGAAACAACCGCAGTCGTTGTTGACAGTTGACATTATTGTCATCGTCGACGGTTCTTGCTTCGGTTGCCGTGTCTCGTCACATGTGTGAGGAAGGGCGGCGATTACTTATTTGTTCCACGACGGCGACAAGTACGGCGTTAATTGAAAAATCTGTCTATCGGCTGATGGACGAGCGATCGTCAACGGACGGTCGACTTCAGACATGACCGACAGATGATACGGTCGCGGTCGTGTCATTACGGGTGTGTTGCCTTGCGTGAAATTCATTAACCGTGTTTGCTGTGTGATTAACGACCACGAATCACGTGTCCTCCTTTCTCTTCCTTTACCGACCGACCGACCGACCACAGACCGAGGTGATGGCAGATGTGTGGCGTGGTGTAGCGGCGGCTAAAGCGGCTAATCACGCGTGTGCCCATGCGAGTCTCAGCTGAGGTCATTCCTGCCGACCCCACAGCGACCACCGACCACCGATCGAGAACGGATGGATTGAGGGATAAATCGACGTGAAGTGTGTGGACTACCGGAGCCGAAGCAGAACGGTCTGTCGCCACCAACGGTCTTTTTGGGTGTCCGTCTCCATTGGCCGACGATGCTGTCCGGCTTGCATCTCTTCATCCGATGCTTTCGCCATTCGCGGGTAATCAGATCTACATGCGAGCCGCCATCTGTCGTTTGTCAAACCATCAACTCCTCTAAACTCTTCTTTCGCCTCACCTGCTACATGCTTTGACTCGTATTGACTAGTTGCTGGCGTTTTTGACGAAGAGCCTCGCCGCCTAAGGTTCGTTCACACAGAGCACTGTAGAATGGCCTGGACTGAGTGAGGTGGTAATGAGATTTCGTCTGCGCGCTGATGCCTACTAATCGAAATTCGCCTGGTCATTATTCTCCATGATCATCGATCGCGATCACAGCGGCATGAGCAAGATAGTGACAGGACATTGGAGGGAAAGTCAAGACTAATGGACGGTGCACGAGCGGGCAGAAACTACACAGCGTGGCCACTGGTCTGTTTTACCGGCCGTTGCTTCGACGTGATTCGCTCGATCAGCTGCCACATCCTGCACAGCGATCACAAGAAGCAGTCATTGGGCACCTACCACCTGATCGGTTGTCCCACCGTGAGATCTCTCAGGCACGTCACTCAAGATTCCGGAAAAGTGCGGTACGTCCGGGACAACGACAGATTGGGCATCGTGGAAATAATTATGCAAATGCGGTTTCAAATTATAATTAAATCAACCAGCCCGTAGCGAAACATCCAAAGAATGCGTTCACCATTCAAAAACATGGTTCTTTAAACCGGAAATGGGTAGCACGCTTCTCACGAAGTGGACGTTCGTTGGATTGGTGGACCTCGTGTGGTGACCATCTGCAACTCGGTTCGCTTCCGGACTCACCCTTGATCTCAGTGGTCGTCACGGCAGTCCCAAAGTCATGTGTGCACGTTGATCGACCATTGCTTTTATTCTTGTTCC